TGGGGGGGGGGGGAAGTCAAATTGGTAAACTTGCAGGTAATTTATCCAAGCCACCGCTTTTCTTGCGGTTAAATCGAACCTTGTATTTTTGTATTTCTCATTTGACTCTCATTTATTTGTTTGTTTATTCCTCTTGTCATGTAATAAGAGTAGCTGTTCTACGTATTTTACATACCAGAAGACGCCAATAGATGGAATAGGGAACTTTTTTAATTTTCGTCAAATAGACGCTCCCAAGAACTCATATTTGATAATAAAACACACGGAGAATAGTTGAATATTTATTTATTTGCTTTTAAAAATTGCATTTTTTAAACGTTCTAAAAAGGCCTGTGACGTCAACTCACCGGAGGCAGAAATTGTCGTGTGGCGCCGTCAAGCGGTTCAGTACAGCTGCTGAAGTCTAGGAAAATACTCTGTACATGTATTTGGCTCGAAAGTGTCAGAAAAACCGGATCGAGTGATGAAAGTTCCTTATAAATATTGTTTTGTGCCGGGATGTAAAAATACAACAGTGAAAATTATACAACTACGAGTTTCGACACTTTGACACAGATTTAAACCCATAAAATCTATCAACATAGTTACGTCTACCGTTGGTAAATTCCCCGAGCACGCCTTTTGAAAATCATTTTTCAGCACAAACTTCATTTGTTAGTGCCAATATATTTTTTTTATCCACTTTTAATAATTGTTTCAAACATAACCCCCTCGATTTGTTTTGGTTGAACGTCTCGCACTTTGAGAGGCTAGAATAACTCAATAGCGCTGCTAGTAGTCGCAAGGGGAACTTGATTCCGGTGAATTGACGTCATCACCCCAAAAAAAGTGTTCAAAATTGGTGCATTTTTAATCAGTTATTACAAAATATCCGGACCACCTTTCGGAAAACTTTTTACTCTGGAGTGGTTCATAGACTACTAATAAGACTCTATTCACCTAAAAATATTCGAAAAGTGGAAAGTGGAAAGTTCCCTATTACAGTTGTACTGAGAAAGGAATAAAAAATGAAAATTGCGGTCGTTTATTGCATTTTTGGCGCGCAAGGTGAGCACGTGAGGCATTTGTAAATATATAATTTAATTAAGTGACTCGGGGCCATTGTTAACGGCCCCTTTATGAGAGACAGGCCCGATGACGGCTCCTCTTGTGCCTCACGTGATTCCAAACTTGTGGCCTTTTTATCTCTCTTCAGCCTTTTGAGAAAGATACGAGGCACGCGATCACACATGTCGACAGATGGTTGAATCGAAGTATTCAACACCCATCGGTAGGTGTTATTATCTGCACCATTAACACCCAGAAATTGGCTAGAAAATTTTCTCGCCTATTGACAAAATATCCCCAATTCTCATTTTGAACGGTTATCATAATTTCATTGTTGTAAGTGGCGCCTTCTGTGGTCTTTGA